CCCGTTGCACTCGTCTGCTCGTGCGATACTCTAGGTCTAGACACACATGGGTGGTCGTATCCGGGTCCTTCCCTGGGTAGGCTCGTGTCCGTCCAGGATGGGGGCCAAGAACCTTTGAATCCGGATAGTTTGCAGTTGTGACAAGCTTTGCTTCACTTCGACCCACTCTAACTCAACTGCTTTCGGTAGAGCATCATCCCAGTTGATGTCGTACAGCCACAATTGTTGATACAAAATCTTGATTTTCACTATCACAGGCGCCAACCAGCCAAAAGGATCAAACAATCTTGACGCATCCGAAATCATCTGACGTTTGGTGTTAACGCTATCAGCCGAAAAGTTAACCTTGAATCCAAACTGGTCTTCGCTCGGGTACCAGTAGATTCCCAACGCTTTAACTACATCAGCATCATCCGAAAGTTTCACTGGAACTGATTCTGACACTTCATTCTCCAACAGTTTGGGGCAGCTCGATGTCCACTTCCTAAGCTCGAAACCAGACTTCGATAGAATTTCGATGATCTGTTCCTTGATGCACATAGTCTCCTCTTCATTATCTGCTCCCGACAGTGCGTCATCCACATAGAAGTCATGAATGATTCGCTTTACTGCTTCCGGATGCGTAGTTTCATATCCTATGGTAGATTCTCTCATCGCTTGAATTGCAAGGTATGGTGCGGTTTTCGTACCGTACGTCACCGTAGAAAGACGATAGTGTTCCACTGGTTTCTCCGAGTCCTCACGCCATACGATACGCAGAAAATCACGGTCTTCTTCATGCATTACCACTTGGCGGTACATTTTAGCTACGTCCGCACGAAACGCCACCTTGTACGAGCGAAACCGCAAATGCACTGATAGTAAATCCTCGTTGATGTTGGGCCCCGCCAACAACCGATCGTTAAGCGATATTCCAGTAGAAGTGGCACAAGAAGCATCAAAAACGACGCGAAGTCTTGTTGTGCTGCTGTCCACTCTGATCACCGCGTGATGCGGTAAATAGTAGTGCTCGGAACAATTTTTTACCACTTGATTTGCCGGAACTGGTTCCATATGGCCAAGCTCCAAATACTCGCGCATGAAGCTGGCATATTCCTTCCGGAATTCCGGGTTTGAAGCAAATCGCTTCTCCATAGCAAAGAGCCTCTTCATCGCAGCTGATAGGGACTCTCCGAGGGCGGGCTTCGAATCGTCAAAAGGCAGTTTTACGATGAAGCGCCCTGAACTATCGCGTTGGGTGGTCGAATTGAAATGATCAATGACCTTCTTTTCAGAGGGAGTGAACTGAGGTGGCTTGTTTATCTCCTCGTACTCCCAAAACTGCTGCAGCGTTCGATTTAGATCCATCTCCGTATGCAAACTTACAATGACATGATTCCCTTGCATGGTCTCTGCTTCGTCGTATCGTCCCGCTGCGATCCATCCGAAAACAGTACGCTGGGCCACCGTTTGGCCGCTGTTGTCCTTGACTTGGCCTCCCTCCAAGAGAGCAAGAAAGACATCTGATCCAAGAATCACATCAATTTGTCCAGGTTTGTTGAAGGTAGGATCTGCCATTTCCCTGACGTTTTCCAAAAGCTTCAGGTTTCCGATGTTGAACCTTTGCGATGGAAGAGACGACGTCAACTTGCCAAGGACGTAGGCACTTGTAGAGATCACAATGACTTCGTTGAATCGAGATGCAAGAAGCAGCGTGACGATTCCGCGAGTGGTACCTGCAGCTTGCTGTCCGATACCAGTAACCACTAGCTTCCCATTACGCCTGACGAGTCCTAGCTTCCGTACGCAATCCTCCGTGACCATCGATGCCTGTGCACCAGAATCAATAAGTACCCTAGCACGAGCAAGCGTACCATCTTCCTTTCGCACCTGCACTACAGCTGTTGGAAACACCGGAATCGATGGTTGCTTCTCAACTGCTGCCATGAGCGACGAAATCGCCTGTTCCTCACCGTCAGTTGGTGGATCTTTGGTTGGGTTGCTTGCTGTCGTTAGTGTTTCCTTCACCTTGCTCGCCTTTGGGCACAGCAACGTATGGTGCCGCTGTATGGCACACTGATTTCGAGGGACACGATTTCGCTGGATGTGAAGCCCGTAAGCAGTTGAAACACAGCTTGGCCTGTTGTACCAACTCTCTTCTTTCCTGCAGTTCCATCTTCTTGAATTCTTCACAAACGAACGTAGCGTGTTCTCTTGAACACTTGGCGCACTTTTGGTAGATTGTAGTTGTCACTAATGTCTTCAATTTTTTCTCACTCACTTCCATTTTCACTTGTTCTTTTTTGTTCACCTCCGCTTTCTTCGAGAATGCTGAGCAGGTTTCCAGCATCTCACACCGCTTCTTCACAAACGTCATAAGCTCCTCAAACGTTGGATGCTCGTTGTCAACAGCTTTCTCCGACCAGGCAGCGCGGGTATCTTTGTCCAGCTTTTCTAGCATCAAGTAAATCAGCCACGGATCGCGGCCTTGGTGTTCCTCTCCTAACGCATCCAACTGTTGGACAACCTCATCCAGTGTCATCACGAGTTTGTTTAGTGATTGCAGCGAAGCTTGTGTCACGACTTGCTGGTCCATGAACTCCCGTACCAACGCAAACACAGTGTAACGCTTCTTGTCGTAGTGACTAAGGAGCGTCTCCCACGCATTAGTATAGTTGGCACTAGAGATGGTGAATTTGTTGACTAATTTCTTCGCATCTCCTTCCAGGTAGGAGAAAAGATACTGCATCTTCAAGGAATCCGTGAGATCGTTCCTTGTTGCGGTCTCAATTGAAAGGTGGAATGTTTATTGCTGGCAACTTCACGTTGAGTTGGTTTGAACCATTCGACACCTGACCGCCTCTCGACATCTCACCATCGTTGAATTGTTCACCACGCTGTACCGGTTCCGCTACACGCTAACTTGAAAGTACTCATTAATGAGTAAAAAAAGACCCATTTTGAAGAAAAGTGGCTTAACTCATTAATGATTAAACAATTTTACCCATTAATGAGTATCTGTTACCCATTAATGATTAACAATTACTCATTAATGGGTAACAGATACTCATTAATGGGTAAAAAATTTACTCATTTAATGAGTTAAGCCACTTTTCTTCAAAATGGGTCTTTTTCAACCATTAATGGGTACTTTCAAGTTAGCGTGTAGGCTGTTGGTGTTTTTGAAAATCGCCGACTGGTTGATCAACATTTGCCGCTGCGTCTCCATAAGCAGCTTCACCCTAACCAGTCTGTAGAATCGGCTACCGTTTGTTGACTCGCTGTCGTTTCGACATCCTCGACCAAATCCTCGAGAATATTTCTCGCCTTGTAGTAGGCTCCAAAAAACTCCTCCCGCACGTCAAACACTGAAGCAATTACTGTAGGATTCTCCAATTGTTCTTCGATTTCATCTTGAGTAGCACGGAAACTATCCGCTAGTTGCTTGAGCTGGTCCAGTCGATCCATAACCTCGCTCCGTGATGGATTCCGATGATGGAGGTCTTTCACGACCGAAAGCTCTGCTTTCACCCGAGCAATCAAAGCACTTCTTTTGCTGATCAATTTCTCCATAGTCCAAAATTCCGGTTCTCGAAGGACCAAATGTTTTCGGAATTAACGGACTGTATTAAAAACAAATTATTTGGATGGAAAAATACCATTTTTATTCTTCGAAAAAGAACAACTTGCTTTTTCTAATTTGTCTTTCTTCTTATGCACGCACTTGTCTACTCTATTTCGCTTACTCGTTCTTCTACGGATGGTGACATGAACAGCTGAACTACTCGGTAAGATTTTGGCATTTCTATTTAATTGTTTTAAACTACTTTATATCGAGCTCTTTTCTAGAATTGCAACATGTTATTAATGCAGAACAAGTTTGAAATTGTTCTAGAGCCAAATTGGTTTTGAAAGGAAGGTCAAACTACCACCGAACAGCTCAACCGCTCTGAACCCTTCAAGTGTTAACATTATGCTTTCTCTAAGCGGTCTCTCGGCGTTCCGCCTCTGTTAACCAAAAAAAAAAACCTATATCTGATTCAGAGAGTATACACGCGCGTTCAATTTTACTCAGAAGTGAGTAAAAATCCACTCACTTTCGTTAAAAGTGGAACTACTCTAAAGTGAGTAAACCCATAGTTACTCACTTTTGAGTATTTGAGGTGTATCGGTAGCTCGGTTTAGTCGAAAGCCATTTGCCATGTTCATTCGCTCCAACCTTCTCATCGGATGTGGAAAATCCCGAGCCACCATCAACTATAAATTCCAGGTTATGTCACGGCTCGGGATTTTGTTCGGCTGCCAGAGTTGTTAATCGTAGGCTTCTGGAGTTCTTGAATTAGAGTTTCAGCTTAATTTTAAAGTAATTGGATTCACAAGTGCACTTTTAACTATACATTTCAAAATACAATGTAAAAAGGACGCAAAGGACGAAAGTGAAGAGTTTGCAAGCCTGACAAAACACGGTGAGTAAAATTAGTGTGAGATTACTCAAACGTGGGTAAGAATTAATGTACGACAAACAGAGTAGAAGTTACTCGCTTTTCTTATTTAATGTTACTCAGTTTTTGACATTTAGCATGAACTTACGAAACTGAGTAGAAGTTACTCTATTTTTAGTGAAATAGAACGTGAGTGTATGGAAAATCCTGGGAAAACATAAGACAAATTTACTCATCGCTGAGTTCCTGCACTTTTGGCGATTATGAGTGAACTAAACTCAAATTTCGGTCGTTCTCATTCGCCGTGTATAGAGTATAAAATAAAATATCCACCTGCACTGTATTGTCCATTCAGACATCATTAGACCCTAACCAACTTACTTGGCCAGACTTCAGCATCAACCGGTGGACAGTGCACTCTACACTTCAAGTTCCCTTTGTTTCATATTCATCTCAAATTTCACACTTTACCCATTGAGTGTTGATTAATCACAATACAAATTGTGACCGAGTTACTAGAGGTTACTAGACAATTAAATAATCATAATCTAGGTCCTTTTAAGGATCATGTATGAACAATCCAAATTTGGCTAATGTCCACTATCAAAATAGGTCTTCTTAGTGAGAAAACAAGTGATGACACTCACATTTGACCATGCATTGGAACCCTGGTCCGAACCTTTCTTGTATCCAATTCAAAACCGAGGTTCATAACCATTAACAAGAACAAGAAGAGTTTCGGCCCAGAGTTCGATGTGGTAGATCTTACATCATCTTGTTCATGCTTACGTTAGTTATTTGCGATCCCTTTTTTCCCATGTACAAAAACGATAGAAAATTTCTAACACCCCATCCAGGAATCGTGAACCATCAAATAATAGCCATAATAACTATAAATAGTTCAGTATACTTTATTGATTGATTTTTCTCCTATCATATTTTCATCTAAAAGATTATAAATAATATTTTTAGGATGCTCCATGGTCAAGTTTCTAGCGACAACGAACTGGCCTCCGGAAAATTTGATTCAATAAATAAAAGTTCGAAATTTACGGTGTTCCAGTAAAATCATGTAGCGTGACCAAAATTAAAATAAAAAAAAGTTGAGAAAGCGCACCTAACGATGAAAAAAAAAACATCAACGGAATTAATAGAATCCGGAATACATTATTTTAAAAAAATCTCGAATTCGTTTTCACTTTAGAACCCGACGAGTTAAAAAAGAAAAAAAAGTAACAAAATAATACAATTGCAATTGCAAATAAAACTTTTTTCTTCAGTCCAATTTTGCTCGTATCATGTTTACGATTGTCATTCCGTTGTTGCTCCGATGGCAGCAACCGGTGGAGGAAATCCTCCCAACCAGTCGCATCCCTGGTGGCTCCGAAATAGGACCTTACTCCATCCTGGTAGAAATCTTCAAAGTTCTGGTAGTTTGCCTGAATCTTGAAATGATGCTGCGTCAGTCGAACGTTGCTGATCAGCAGATTCGTAGCGTTGTATTGATCCTTTTCCGTGAGATGCTTCCCTCCGTGCCAGTTTGTCTTGTTAACCATATGATCCATCTCTTTAAATAGCGCTTTCAGCACTAACAGTTGGTAATGTTCCGGGATGCAATGTGTGCCGTGTAAAGCGCTATATAGTGTCACAAATTTGCTGCAGTCGATGACCTGGTAGCATTTCTGATAAGCGCTGTTGAACTTGCTATCAACAGGTGCGATGACCTTTCTCTTCACATACAAGTCCCTTGCGTCCGATGGGAGCATCCAAATTAACCACTTTACTTGGAAGGATTTCAGGTCATCCAGCATTGTGCAAAAATTCGCTGCGAAGCTAGCGAGGTCACACGATCGTAGCGTTTTGCTCATCATGCTTCGAACAATCTGATGAAGCAATTCTCGGATCCGATTCACTTGATGTGAGATGTTTTTTTCTGACGGCAATTGCTTCGAAATAGTGGCTATCATTTCGTCACATTGCAAAATGATGTCATCCACGCTTTTCTGCTGATTGTCGGACGATCTAATCTGCGTCAGGGACCGTAAGGCGTTGTGAGTAACCATGCGGAGACTTTCCAAGGTTTGGTTTTCAAAATCCGTTGACGATACGAAGCTGACGTAGGATTTGAACAAACTAGAAAACAGGTGCATTTTTTCAATATCCGTCTTGAAAACGTTCTCGATGGCATCGTCCAACAGACAAAGCCAAATGTGCACCTCATCTGGCATGGAGTTAAGATTCTGGAAAACTTTGAACTCGTACGGAAAACTCTTTTTAGCCGTTACTTTTCCTGGTTCAAAGTGATTTGCAAGCCTCACGAGCATTTGGAGTTGTTGCATGAGAGTCTTTTCCAGTGGAGATCGGATGGAGTCTTTGCATAGAGTGGTCGTCCGCCATTCATTCTTCTTGTAGACAATAACTTCCGTTCGTAGGGCAGCTTTGAATTCTTCGGCTACTTCCAAAAGGCTCATACAGATGAAGAAATAAAGGCGATTAGTCAAGGGAACGAGTTCTCCAAGGTGATCTTCGTCGATTTGGGCTATCCTTGTTAGGAATCTTGAGATGACCTCTGGCAGAACAGGCCCAAACACAGTCTTGTCCAGCCCGTTGTCCAAATCGGCAAAGAGCTTCAGATCGGTTGCGGTTACGTACAGAATGTGAATGTCGTCCAGCTTGTGGAGTTTATCCTTCATTACGTATGGGCACCTGGTCAGTAACTGCGCTCTGTGCGTGTCAATTCCACTTTTGATGGCACCTTTCATGAAATCGAGTTGCTCCGTAGAACTAGCTAAACCCTCCAGAAACCTGTTCCGTGCAATTACTATGCTCGTGTTTGATAAGTATTCGATCAACGCGTGTTTCATCTTACTGGAAATGTAACAGTTGCTCTCCACGTCAAGCTTGAAGTTCTCACACAGCGGTGTCTCACAGTCTCGCATCATTTTCCACAGTTGGAACAAGTCTTCTGCGTGGTTCGGATCCGTCGTTGATCCACTGCTTACCTCTTTCAAAAGCATCCAAAGATCATTTTCAGCTTTCTTACATTCCAGCAACTGCTCGTCTTGGAACACTTTCACTACCTTCAAATGCTTTAGCAGTATTGTCTTCGCCTTGGCAAATTCAATCACGCCATCCAGTTCGGCTATCGGTTCCACGCTGACCTTGGCTAGGTAGTGGTTTCCCGATGTTAGCAGGCAGCCTTCGCTTTTCAGCTTCCATACTTCTTCTCCGCCAAAACGAAACCTTGCGGAATACGGCAAGCCTGATGTAAGCCGTTCGTGACATTGGATAAATTGCCACCCATCTTCATCTTCAATCCTACCACCTAATGCGTGATGTTGGGCAGCAGCTTCCAGATTATTCTTACCGCTGGCATAGAGCGACCACTCGAGTTCGCTGATTCGCATTTCCTCACCTTCGGACAGTGTCTCGATTGAAGCGTCGTCCTCCCTTTGTTTGTCTAATCTTGGTGCGTCATTGTCGTCCATCTTGCAAGCGAACTGCAAACAGGCGATTAATTAACTTAATTTACAGCTGAAGGGGCTATAGTTTACCTTTTTATCGTAGGACGTTTTTTTTTAAATTGTCAAATAGAATTCACCAAGAATTCAAAATTTGGCTGACACTTCAATTCCACTAATTTCTACACTAGCTTGAATAAAACAAATTACATTAACTTTGTACCAAGGCAGCTTTCTACCTATGCATGGGCTCATATTTTCACTAGGAAATGGATGATGAAATAGCAAACTGAACGCTGCCTGCTGCATCTTTTGTAAATATTGATAAAGGTATTCTTGCCACTACTACTAGCTCATCACGATCATATTCAGGGTCGTCAGAACTTCAACACAACTGATTTGGCTGTGTAGACGTTTAGTATTCCATGAAGTGAAAAAGTACAGAATGCATTTACTAGTTAACCAGCATGTCAGTTTCTCATACGTACACGGTAAGAAAAAAGAACCCAAAAGCAAGTTCTTTTCACTCATCTCAGCACTATGCAGGAAGCTAAAAGTAGGTAAAGCGGGTCAAAGTAGTTTTCATTTACTTGTGTGCAATTCGCATTGCAATTTTCCGCTCGCTTTCTACCCAAAAGTAAGTTAGTTGTACCCAAAAGTAGATAAATATGAGTATACTCAACGTTGGGTTCCCACACTTTACTACCCCTATTGGGTGGTTTTGTTCCTACGTGTTTGACAACATTAGAAGGGAAAAAAAGGAGACAAACAAGTCAAAAGTAGGTAAAAGTGAACTGGCCGCTGGGCACTTTTTCTTACCGTGTAGGAAGCTATTTGTTTCATAGTTTTGACAAACAAAGCGATAAGAAAATGTCTGTTGCTGCATGTGTCTATTCTCATGAATATTGCGAGGGAGTGTGCCTATTTTATTCAATTTGACCTGGGTTGTGCTGCATAACCCAAAATATGCAGTGCCCCGGATGTCACTCCCCGGAACGCCACAACCCCGAATAAGATTCTGATTTCTTTTCAAATGTGCTTATTTCACATTCGGAGAAGCGACATTCAGGGTGATGTAGCAAAACCCTGTGATGAATGTATGTTTTGCCTTATCACTCAATAGGCAGTGGGAATCCTCCCGGATGTCATATTTACACCGCATATTTACTTTTAATCTTTTAATGAAAGCCTTTAATAAATCGATAGAACTGATAAATATAATTTGAAACGTGACCATTACCTACCACAGCCTTTACCGCAACATAATACTCGATAAAACTCGAGATAACAAATAAATAAGGTAGATTCTATAATTCCCTCCCCCCCCCCCCATCCGCAGGCTTGGACGGCTCGACAACGGCTCAGGAGCGCGAGAAGCTAATCAACGAGTTCAACTCGAACCCGAACATCCACCTGTTTCTGGTGTCGACCCGCGCTGGTTCGCTGGGTATCAATCTGGTCGGTGCAAATCGGGTGGTCGTTTTCGACGCCAGCTGGAATCCCTGCCACGACACGCAGGCCGTCTGTCGGGTCTATCGATACGGGCAGAAGAAGCCGTGCTTCGTCTATCGGCTGGTGGTCGATAACTGTTTGGAGAAGAAGATCTACGATCGACAGATCAACAAGCAGGGCATGAGCGATCGCATCGTGGACGAGTGCAACCCGGATGCGCATTTGTCGATGAAGGAAGTGACCAGCTTGTGCTACGATGATGGGGAGGACGGGGAGGTTAAGGATTTTAGCGACGATAAGGATAAATTCATCGATGTGGTTATGCAGCATCTATTGGAGCTTTACTCGAAGAAGCTTACAAAATCACCGTTTGCACATGAAAGTTTGCTGATCGATCGGAAGGAGAAGAAACTTTCGTCGGCTGAGAAGAGACAAGCTCAGCGCGGATACGAACTGGAGAAGCAAGCGGCTACAAAGCCGAGCTATTCGTACACATCGATGGGCACGACGTACAGGGCGATTAGGACTCCGGATGGATCGATCATTCATCGACCTGTCGCTTCGGTAGGTTACCGATTGGTTTGTTTGGTGGAATTTCTGTTTTGAATTTGATGTTATTCTAGGTTCGACCTATGCAGGCCGGTGATGCTGGTAAGAATTCGATTGGAGGCAATAGACCTACCAGGTGGATACCGGCCGAAGTTTGGCAGCGACAGGGAATGACAGCGCAGGAGATGACTCTTCCTATCGGTAAGTTAGCGTTGAAGTATGTCGGTTAAATATCTTGTAATTAACATTTACGTTCTTTTGACAGATGTGGTCATTCCGACTAGTTCCGCGGACAAATCCAACATCGTCCTGAAGGCAGGTCAGAAGGTGATGGTACTGAAATCACCTAAAGGAATCTACATGCAACTGGAAACGGGCAAGATCATTGCCATCCGGACTGCTTTCAAGGTCGGTCAAAGTAAGGATGCTGCAGCTGCTGGCAAGGGTGCTAACATTCCGGTTTCTGCAACGGCAGCCGGACGTAGGGCGAGTGTTACGTCGACTGCTACGAAGGCTTCTACCGGTACTTCGAAGGATGAAGGCAATTCCCTGAGCATACCGTCCAATTCGGACGATGAGGATAAGTCGGATTCCAGCATAGTTCCACTTGATCCGGATGATAAAGAGCCCATGACCGTGGACGACTATCCTGAGAAGGGGGAAATTTTAGATTGCGATATGAAGAGCGATGAACTGGAAGAGGGCGAGATAAGAGATGGTTTAGTGGGTGGTAAGGGAGGTACTGTTTCCCTGTTGAATATCCCTGCATTCACGAATGCTTCGTCGGGACCTTCCAAAGATAAAGCTACAAAATTCCCTATGATCCAGTCGGCATACTCTATGGCACCGCAAGCACAAGAAGGTCGTACTAATGTTCCTAAACAAACTAAGCAGCGGCAACAGCAAACGCCACCTGCTACGGTAACAATAGACGATGAAATTCCACCCTTGCGGGAGAAGGTCGTGTACAAACCGAATCTCGTTGAGAGGAAATCCAAAGTTCCTCCTTCTTCACTTAAGAACTACAGGCACAAAGCCGGCAAAGCTCCAGAACCTGCTACTGTGACGACTCCTACCAAGTCGATTCCGGAAGAGCAAGCACCCAATAGTGCACCTGTTGTTTCAATGAAATCTCAAAGTCCAGGCAATGTTCCTGCGCCGCAAGTACCATTATCACCAGCAAGTCAAGATCAAGCACAACCCTTCCCAGCAATGAGTGGTCGTCAAATGCCTCCAAATCCGCAACAATCACCCCAGCAAATCGTAACATCTCCTCAGCAACAACAGTTTCACCAATCATCCGGCTATCCTCCTCAGCCGCATCAACAATCGCCCTTTGGTGTGCCAAATCCGAACACTGCCACCGGCAAGAGTCCCATCCTGCATCAACCGCAACATATGCATTCGTCTACCTATGGACCACACAAACACCAACAACCGACACAACCATCCACGTGGAACCCCTACACCAGCAGCAATCCATCTTCAACATTCTACGGTCAACAGTCGCATGTTCCTCCTCCCCCACCACCTTCCCAGTACGAATCCAGTCTCAATTTTCTGGAGAAAACCACCTCTGCCCTCATCAACAACCAAAACCAGAGCGAATTCCAAACCTCCCTCAGCAACATTACCCGCTCTCCGACGCCCACCGACAACTTCATGGAGTTTCAACCGAAGCCGACCGCTTCCGGGAAGAAATCCGCCTCCAAAAAGCCGCCTAAACAGCCGAAGAACGACTACAACGCGGCCAAGAAGGCGCTCAACAAACGCAACAATCCCTCGCCCTACCTTCCTGTGTCGTGCTCCTCAGCATCGTCATCCCCTTCCCCATCCCCTGCGGTCATGAACCACAATCAAAATAGTAACAGCAGCTCCCTCAGTGGAACGCCTACTCCAGTTCCACAAGCACAGCAGCTTAACGCCGGTTCGGGTTCCCACGCGGGAAACGCTGGCTATTACGATCAGTATTCACAACAACAACAACAACAACAACTACCAATGCATCAACCAGTGCCACCGACCATGATGGCTTCCGCAGGTCCGACACCAGCACCAGCTGCAGCCGGATCGGCGATGTACGATGGTGTGGCGATGGGACAGCAACCGTACGGCGGATTGCCGGCACCGGTTTCGTCGGCCTACGGTGGTGAGTAGGATCGATTTTTGTTCTATTATTGATTGCTTTTTCTGGGTTGATTTGCGTCGATACTTGCATAGTGCTTGGTTGCCTGAAAATTAACAGTACCTTCTACTTTCACTGTCTAGAAACTTCTTTAAACAGGGTGTCGACTACCTGGAATAATCTGGAAAATCATGGAATCGCTGGGAATTCCACATTAAATCATTAAATCATTAAAATCAGGGAAATATTTCTCAATTCTTATTCATGATTGCATTACAATCTATAATGATATAACCAATCGTGTAGGAAAGTGAAACAATGATTTTTTTAAAGATGGCTAAGACTTGAACAATTTAAATCTAGAGAAAGGTTCTTTGGACTAGAAAAAAGTTTTAGAAATCCAAGACATGAACTATTTCTTCAAGGTTCTGGGACGTATTTCAGTTTAAAGGTTTCGTACTTCTTTTTTGCAACTGTCTCCACAGACGGTGCATCTCACTAGGGTTCGTACTTAAGAAAATTTTGAAGTTTGTCTAGGTTTAAATACTATGATTTTAGATCGATTGAGTTTTGACGACTTCCGGGATTATTATTATTTTTATTATTCTAAACCACAAAGATTTGCAAGGTTTCGTACTCATGAAATTTATTTTATAATTTTGAGGGATCTCAGTCTTTAAAAAACAATGCTGCGGGTCATTTAAAATGTATCGGATCTTGAACTTGGAAGCATTAATCATGGAAAAAAATCTTGGAATATGGAAACAAAATTCAAGGCCCAGTGTAAAACAAACTTTCACATCGAGATCCCGGATTCAAAAACAAAATCACGGGCTTTGACATATTAATAAGATTTCAGACATAGCAACATCTCGCACTTGGAGCCATTTCAAAGATTTTCGAACATGGTAAAAATTCAATACACTGGAGTCGCTTTTACGCGGTTTTTTTTTTACACGGTTTTTTTTTACGCGGATTTCGGAATTTACGCGGTTTTTTTTTACGCGGATTCCGGAATTTACGCGATTTTTTTTTACGCGGATTTTGGTTTTTTTTTACGCGGATTTCAGAATTGACGCGATATATCGCTTTTTACGCAGTTTTTTCTTACACGGTCTTTTTTTACGCGGTTTTTTTTTACGCGGATTTCGGAATTTACGCGGTTTTTTTTACGCGGATTCCGGAATTTACGCGGTTTTTTTTACGCGGTTTTTTTTTACGCGGGACGTATCACCCGCGTAAAAAGCGACTCCAGTGTATCTCAAATTAAAAAGAATGTTCAATTTCTTCGAAAAAATATCATGATTCTAAAAAATATCATGATTCTAGAGGCTCTAGCCTAACAAAGATTCTAAAGATTCTAAACGAAGACATTTATAATGTGACTAATGATTTTCTTTGAGTTTTGAAAACAATACTTAAAAAATAATAAATTGAGATGCAGGATTTGGAAAAAATCCGGGTATAGAAAAATTAAGAATTAGAAATGAACAGCTTCCAAAACCCAACCCAAAATATGAACATCAAATTATATCGCGAAAATCGCGAAGAGACTGATGGGCTATGACAAAATTTGCGGAATTAATTTTCATGGCGCGAATTTATTTAATGAAATTGAAGTAACATTTTAGCTGGGGGATTTGAGGGGGATAAAGGCGGCAATAACATAAATAACTGAAGATTTTTAATTTTTTTTTCAAAGTTTACAAGCGATACTCCATTAGCTCCCAAGCAAGTCCTTGCTGGAGGCGGCTGGGTTCAATTCCCGTCCGGCCTATTATTTTTTTGGGTTGGAGAATTTCTCGATTTTCTTGAGCATATGATGGTACAGGAATAGAAAGCTCTCAATTAAATTGTGGAAGTGCTTAAAAGGACACTAAGTTAAGAGCAGGCAAACAACTGATATGCCATAAGCAATAAGCTTGAAATACCATGTGCTAGTAATACAAATTGTATTTTTAAGCAATGAAAACAGTTTTTTATTTGTTGTGGATTAGTATTTGAAGTCGCAGATTTCTTTTCAGAAATCGTGGATTTTGCATGTATTTTAAGACAGTCAAAAACCTGTTAGCTTTATTTTTTCTAAGCGGAAGGTGATTGTACGACTTTTCTCCGAAAAATGTACACTGAAAAATGTTTTAATTAGTTTCTATTAGGAACGCACATAATATTTTTCCTTTAACAAAAAATAATGATTTTTATCTGAATATCACATAGCATAAGAAATTCTATATAGATTTCATTGGACCCATAGCGTTTATGTGATTTGGTGGTGCAATTTCCAATTATGGGATCACATGAAAGTAATGTGAAATTCACATGGATATTTTCCACTGGTTATGTGATATATTTTATGAGTGTACGTTTTTCCCCATAAAAATTGGAATGCCCTTCTGGCATACCTGTCGTTTGAAATAATGGACATTTGGCATAAACGTGAAAAACATTCTTTTATAACCTCTGTAGTACTTCGGACCCGTATTAGAATAAATTACGATAATTAGACTTATCAAACTTCAGCTTTATTAATAATCTTCAGACCGACGTGTACTCTCTCTTTGATAGCCATTCACTCTCTGTCTTCCTTACCTCCTGTCTCTACCATCCACCGTTACCATAACGAGGGGCTAGCAGATTCACTCCGCTACCACAACCTCTATCGATCTTAACTGCTTTTTATCTTGATCAGTTCTTCAAAAATTAGAGGTGAATCAATCAATATCAGTAATCTTTTAAAGTGATCCTCAGAAAACCCTTTGAAGTCTGTTTATACCTCACAATCTCCATACAATTCTCCTCAGAATAACATAGAAATTGTCCTCCCAACTTATCAGGACTTAATCTCAGAATTAATGTGGGAGTCTTGTCAGAGCTCCGTTGAATCTTTCTACGATTATTAGAACCCTGAACATTTTCCCAAGCCTTCTAAATTTTCCAGGATCTATATATTTTTTAAAACCTTGGATCTCCGAATTTTTTTTTTAAATGTCGCATTTTGAGTATATTTCTCAGTCCAATATTGTTGGAAAAAAATCCAACCCTGTTTTTTTCTTCTAAATCTAGGATATATTTTTATAAGTCACCAACCTCGAAAAATTGTCATATTCTAAGCAGTGATGGGCAAGCAAAGCCGCACCTTGTTCACCGTTCTGGTTTTCGAGTACCGTGTTTCGTGTTCACAAGGATGATATTCTGAATTCAGATCCGGTGCTATTGTAGTGTATGTGCGTGGTGCGCATTATTCTGAATTGCCAGTCATGGCAGTTAAATAAACAGAATTTGTATTTGATGTGTAAATTTCAGGGCTGGTAGCAGGTCACTTTTTAGTGACTTGGTCACTATTTTCAAGCCAGTCACCAAAAAGTCTCTTTTTTCATCAAAAGGTCACTAAAGTCACTATTCCTTAAAATTTAGTCACTAAAGTCACTTTTTTACTACCGATGTTGAGAGTAAAAAAAAATACTTCAAAAACTCACATCAAATCACAGATTGATTTGGTAAAAAAAGTGTGTTAGAAAGATTCATTAAAAATGCGTGTAAATTCTGACGGACTGTTAACTGTAATATTGATTTTGATGCAATCACTAATATTTTTATTTGTTTGATCTCGAATTGGTTATAGACCTTTCACAAATTGTAAGAGGTTTCGCAGGTTGCAATTTTCTCAATTTGGTTGTGTTAAAGATCTCGAATTTTTAGGTCCAAAAAAAAAATGGTCCAAAACCAAGGGGTAGGTCACTCCGCACACCAATCCTGGGTCATCTTTTTTGTCAGTGTGCCACAGGTGTGCCGATTGTGCCGGTCGTAGAGCAAGCTTCGATTGTTTGTAAAATACCCATCCCGGCAACCCGGCATTTCTGACACCTTGAATGTTTTGTTTGAAATCGCAGGGATAAATCGGATTGAGGATGACGCGGGAAGTGGCGGGTGTGCGAAATTTTGGTGTTTTGTGTTCATAGGATAATAAAAGTTCTGTGTTTTAGGGTTTTATAATGCCCTCAAAGGCAGAACAGAAACCTAGCCTTTCGTGATGTGAAAAGCAACGGTCTATTAGCGGCCGGAAAGAGTTGGAACCGGTGGGGAACATGGTTCAAGATCGACTATAGAGGATGATGAATAGACTTCCGTAGTTTGTTTGGTGTGAGTTGCAGCATTATTTGAATTAAGGGTATTAATGAGGTCTGATTAACTGCCTCTGTCTCTTGCGCCCACTCTAGAACCTACATTTCGTATTTAGATCTATATTTTAACTGCTGGTCTGAGTTCCTCTGGTATATTCAATTACATAATGTTGTGAACAACTTCAATGACAGTTGTCTAGCAGTGATCCCATTTTATTCAAAATGATCCAATGCCTACGAAATTGTGCCGAAGATGTGCCGATGGATGTGCTCAAGCTGTGCCGAATCTAATTTCGGCGCAATGTGCTGAGTGACTTACCCCTTTGTCCAAAACTCTAAAATGCATCCCTAAATCCCTAATTTTTCACGATCGAGATTTTTAGACCTAGACGCATTCAAATTTTGTTTTATGTCCGTGATTTTTCCATCTGGGATAACTTTCTTCGTTCCACAGAAATGAGAGGTTTTTGAAGACTGCGATCTAGAAAATTTGTCTATGTCCCACAGTTATTAATTTGCGTCCTTGTGTTACAGAAGATTCTCTTCTTGGAAGGAATGGAGACGACCAGTTCGTTATAGCGGCTACAAATAGAACGTTTTCTTAAATTAAAAAAACTAATCGCTTATCGCATCGCTTCATCAATATCCTAGATATTTAAAATTGACTGTCTTAATAAAATTCTCAAAATTTGTCTAAATCTTTGAATTTGAACATTTTTCTCTGTGCCTCAATTTTGCGATCTAATCAACAATGTGTGCTTTCGATCCTAATATCAACTTAGTAAATAGTTTGTTTAAAAAATGTTTATTCAATTCATATTTATTTTTTGAGGATAATGGGATCCATAAACCGTTTGTTTTAGTTTTTAGAAACAGGAAAAATGCGGGTTTGTGAGTTTATAAAATTTCTCTGAGTGGCAATCGAAATCAATGGAAGATTGAAACCATATCTTTCTGACCAATAAATGTCACTATTGGTCACTTTTTTATTGTTTAAAAGTCACTATTTGGTCACTATATTCGTTATTTTAGTCACTAAAGTCACTACTATTAAATCACATACTCACTACCAGCCCTGAAATTTATGCAATGTCAAGTCGAAATGGCGGTTTTTGAATACACAAAAACTGGTAATTCAAATGAAGTATTATAAAATGTGGGTGTATCCAGAATCGGAGTGGCGTAAAGAGACTGGAAATGATGACCAACTCCAACTTGAAATTCAACATGGCGGCTTCCGGTTATGAAAAAACTCGTAAATACAGTCAAAAACCCTTCAATATGGGTATTTTTGGAATCGGGGTGACGACTAGAAACCGCAAATCGATGTCTGACGCCAGCTTGAAATTCAAGATGGTAGCTTCCGGTTTCTATAACTGGGCAATACTGTCAAATACCCTTCAATATGGGAATTTTTGGAATCGGGATGACGTCTAGAGACCGGAAATAGATTATATATACCGGATATAGCAAAACTGGAAATACTGTCAAGTACCTTTTCAATATGGGTATTTTTGGAATTGTGATGGCGTCAGGCATCGATTTACTGTCTCTAGACGGCACCCCGATTCCGAAAATACCAATATTTGAAGGGTGTTTGACTGTATTTCTTAGTTTTCCTGCAACCAAAAGTCGCCATCTTGGATTTTAAGATGGCGTCAGACATCGATTTCCAGTCTCTATACATCATCGCGAGTTACGAGTTTTTTAATAACTGGAAGCCGCCATATTGGATTTCAAGATGGCATCGGTCATCGATTTCCGAACTCTAGGCTTCATCCCGATTCCAAAACACCTATATTAACGGGTATTTGTCAGACTTCAAAATGAATTCCCTTTCCTTCAATATTGTCAATCAACATATGTGACAAGGTTTTAAGAACAACTGTCGCTTTGCATAAATATTTTACTCGTCGGTTTGGGAGCAGTGCTATTTAGTTCTTAGCTGGTCTCATAGCCTAGTCAGTAAAGGCAAGGTATTACCAAGCCGGAGGCGGCGGGTTCGATTCCCGGTCCGGTCGAGGGAATCTTTCGGGTTGGAAATTTTCTCGACTTCCCTGGGCATAGAGTATTATTGTGCTTGCCATACAATATACAAATTCATGCATTGGTATTGGCATCGAAAACTATCAATTGTTAAATGTGGAAGTGCATTGACACTAAGTTGAGATCACGCAATAAGCTAATATGCACTAAGCAATAAGCTTGAAATGCGAATAAGAAGAAGAAGAAGAATCTATTTAATTCTCGCCAATGGCCTGAACCAAGAACGGTTTACCCGGTTTTGGTTCCATAGAATTGAACCATGCACGTGGTTCAGATCTGGTGAACCAAAACAAAAATTCTAGCACTTTTTGTCGGTTTTGATTTAGAACACAGGGTACACGAAAACTCAACCGAACCAGGGTACACGCTTACATAAACAAAGGAGTATTTTTCAAACTCGAACCAGCACACGCTGCGCACCGGTTGGTTCAGTTTCCCATCACTGATTCTTAGAGTCTAAACAAATCAAGCTGAACATTGCATTAGGTCCTAAGTAACATTGGTCGATTCTCTTCATCGACTTTCTCTTTCGTTAATAACTTGGGTATAGAACCATTTCTTGTCTTGTGTCATGTCATGTCATGAAGATAGATAATAGCTTCTTTCATCGATCTGTGAGCTGAAAATAGCAGGGAATGTCTTAACATGGCCGTGAGGATGCAAAGAGAAATTCGACGAAGACAATGTGTCAATGTTACTTAGCACCTAATGCAATGTTCAGCTTGAAATGTCAAAAACTCAGAATCTTTGAAATCTTCCTATAATTTTTTTTAGGATTTCTGTTAGTTCAGTTTACGATGCGTTAAAACATTTTCTTGCTCCGAGATCTTTGTATCAAGTTCAAGGTTTCTAAAACAATTTCTGAATTTAATCTCTCCCTCTAAAACTCGGTATAATGACCCATTCTGTTCAATAGCGTTCGGCAAAGCGACCTTAAAAAAAAACATTGATTCTGGTACTTTGTAAATTTTGCCGCTTTAAAATCATAAGAGGACTCGAGTCTAAAAAAGTTATTAAAATTGATTCTAATTAAGTACCTCGAAAATAACGTTTTATTGCAATCAATACTGTATATTCGTTTGTTTGACTGAACATCAACAACAGGAAAAATTTTGAGATTCGAATCTGGAAAACCGATAAAAATTCGGTATTTAAAAATGAAAATTCACTGGCCACCCTGTTATTGTTTCACCAACTCTTTTCAGCACCAATTAATCTAAATCATTCACTCAAACGGTGTATTGGGCAGTCAGGGGAGGGTTGAGTTATAGAACCGATCAGTTCAAGTTGAAAGAGAGAATCGTCCCTATTTGGATGCCAGCAATAACCATTCGTAATAAGTCAAGATTTCCATGAAAAGCCAAAAGTTGCCAAACTGCTCGTAGCCTAATATGCACATTTTTCGTAAGACTTTCCGAATATGTTTTAGCCTAAAACACCGAGTCGTGTACCGCTGCAGAAAGCCACCGGGGTTTGTCCTCCGTGGTCTCTGCTGAATATGGTTTAAGCTTGTTTTTTCTGGCATCCTTTCTACATGGCCCGCCTACTGTAGTTTGCCTTTTGCAATATAGAAGTTCTAGCATAAAGTATGTTCGTGTTTTCTATTCTTTGTTATGTGGATGTGATGGTAATTGACGTAGTTCATTAGTATTAATTTCAGTTTCAAATAACATCTTTGGTTTTAGAAATTATGGTTTCCACTAACTTATGCCTAATGCTAACCGCTTCAATAGCATGACATCTTTTGACCATGGGTGTAGTCGCGTTCAATGGTCTGCAGGGTATCAAAACCATTCAAATGTCCTGTCTTTGTGTGTGTCCAGGTTCATCGTACGCATCTAGTAACAGCACAAATACATCTGTGAATCGTTCCAACTACTACCAATCGCCACCGGCATCGGTATCAACGGCTACCACCGTCATGTCCTCGTCAACGGTTCCAACCGATTCATCTAGCTATTACCATCAACAGCAATCTACAGCGACGCCGCAGGTGACATCCCAGCATCACCAGGTAAGAAGCCATTCCCGTGGATCTTCGTCTCACAGCTACGTTCCTCCGCCACAACCAGCGGTATCAGCAACAACACATACGCAAAACCAGCACCATCAGCATCCGTCGCAGTCGCAAAATTACCAAACTACAACTCCGACGGTTGGTGCTAATGCAGCGGATACGGTTCCCAGCTACCAACAGCAGCCAGCTTCGGCTGGTCCTCCCACTTTCACTCCTTACTCCTCCTACACCAGTACGGCCCCGAGCGGTACACCCACCACTACCCAGGCGGTAAGTTCCAATGGGTCAGCTTTCCATCGCCCGGAAAGTGCTGCTCCCGTGGCCAATGCCAGCGGCACCCCAGCAGCCAATAATTTTGAAACCCCGCCGACCTACATCCCCGAAAACGGCACCAATCCCTATCAGTATCCCTACCAAGCGCAGGGTTATCAAGCCCAAGGCTACTATCCACCTCCGTCATATCCCTACTATCCAGCGACGGGTGCTCCCTATTCGCCCGGCGACTCCCAGTACCACTCGTACCCTCCGCCGCCGCCACCTTCCAACTACAACTATCCCCCGTATCCTAGTCAACCCGGTGTCGGACAGTGGCAGTAGGAATTGTGCGATAGCTAAAAGAAAAAAAAAACGCAGAATCTACAGGAATATCTGCTCTCTGCACGGCTGATAGTTCTCATTTTATTTTTGAGAAAATCTTTCAACTTCTTCCTGTTCCTTTTATGATCAAAGTGAAATGAAATGTTTACTGAGTAAAACATTAACCCAGAATGCATATAGATACAGCTGAATGTGTAAGATGCTCTCTATTTTTTTTATAATTGAAACTTTCCAAGTGAATTAGGTTTTATTTTTCGTAGAAATTTATTTCTAATTTTTTTTATGAATAAACCACACGTTCCTAAACTGAATTAAAATGCAAACTGAAACATAACGGAAGAAAATTTCGAAACTAGCTTCAAAGTAGCGGCGCGTAGCGATTGGTAATAGAAATATCACTGACTAAACCACTGCATTGCATTGATCGGAGGACATCAACTACTAACTACTACAGTAGTAGCCTACAAACAAGATTGAGCATTTTACCTTAAACAGTAATTCTACCAGTAGTGAACTTAAGAGAAAAAACAAGAAATACGGTTACTGAATGAATTATTTGCTAGGGGGTGTCATTCGAATTGGTGATTTGGAATGCTTGACCGGATTTCGGAGTACTTCTTAGGTTATGAATCATTATTTGGGGGGAGACTGGTCAGAGTTGGATCGTTATTCGCCGTCGGCGAACCCCTTGTACGATACCGTCAGTTACACTGAGAGAAGTTTTCATTTTGTTTCGATTTGAATTGATTATATTTATCTTTTCTGGTCATGAAACTAATGATATTTATCTGCTTTTTACAGATCATGCATGTGAATGTTCATGATAATAATTTTTTTGGATATATATTTGGTCTGATTTTGTCATACAAATCCAGAAGAACACGTACTTGTAGAGGGTTAATCTGCGAATTGAGTGTCGTGAGAAGGCTAATATCATTCGAACGGTCACTCGTTTAGGCTAACCCCCCAGTAAATGGTGATGGATCGAAGAGTGAATTCTTGAAGCTAATGGTTGAATTCCTTATAAGTTCTGAAAAACTATCTTTTTTTTCAAATTTCATCCGCGTTCACATTCCAATTTGGTCAAGCAATGTCAAAACTAATTTTGCATTTCTTCATTCGTAAAAAAAAACTTAGTCATTCGAAATTCAATCAATCAATCAGACTTATGTTGTCAAATCAGTTGATTGTGGCTTCAAATAAGTAGATAAATATGAGAAAAATCCACGAGAAAGTCGTCCTATCTCGAAACAGTGCAATCTATTTTTGTTGATTTTCAGTTGTCTGTATGTGAGTTTTATTTACCGCTGTTTATAGATTTTTTTTTATAAAAAGATGTTTATATAAAAATGCCAACTTAGGTCTTGTGCTGGAAGGTATTTAGCACAATAAATGATTTAACAAATAAAGTATATAGAAAGTTGACAAAATCGCTAATAATCGACTGCTTGGAGAAAGTAAATTATACAAGACAAATATTACAATTTACGAAAATGCTTCAAAGTAGTGCAACTGAAAAAAAAATCCTACTCCTTTTCGATCAAGAAAACCGATATAGCCAAACAGCAGTGAGTGTTCTATCCAACCACATTTTACCTATATCCTTGCATGAACAACAGTGTAAAAAAAAACAGCAGTGTTTAGCATTTCTTGACTTACGATTATTTATTACCAACCAACTCTCCGACGTTTGAACTGCTATCCAGCCAGGAAGCAACGCATTTAAACTATCAAGTCGTTTTTAAGCAACATAGAAAAAAAACTAACCTAGAAATATTGCTGAATGTGAAAAAACACAAGCAAGCAAGCAAAGATAAACGTTATCGTCGTTTAGAATCAAATTTCAACTATCAATTAGTATTACATCTACCAAACAGACAAAACAATACACATACAAACACACACACACATAAACACACTACTCCAGTTTAGCATATTTAGCATATTTAATAGTAGCAACAACGATCGGTCCCTGCACCCTCCTCTTTCAGGGGCGGTTTGGGGATTTCCGGTAGGATATATGAATTCATTCAAAGTGTTAGGGTATCGTCTCTCGGTTTTTTCGAAGCTTGTACAAAATGATTTCTTTTTTTTTTGTCCACGGAAGAAACGTCGTCGCATTCTGTTCAGAAATCGGTTAGGATTGTCCCGTTTACTCGCGATCGTTTCGTTTGTAGAAAATTTGTTCCAGGTACCGTGTAGTTTTTGTATGATAAATGGAAAATCAAATCAGAAGATGAGTCAAATGTTTCTTCCTTTTACTTAATTGGATCGTTTCGCCCCTCCACCCACGCAAGTCTAAGCTAGTAGAGTAGGTATGTATTTAATGTTGAGTAACTACTGTAGGGAAGCGAACTGTAAACGAGTTGTGTTTTATGGAGAGGGAAAAACGCGTGGAGGGGGTAGAGCCTAGACTCTGCTCCCGAAGGAATGTCCGTGTGTCATGTGGGTCTAGCAAGTGGTATGATTATTTTAATCATTAACTGATATCGACTATGATAATATTAACACGATACTAGAGTAATGTATGAATCGTAATACAAAGTATTTGAAAAATTATGTTTGTTTTTCATTTGGCATTGATGACCATCCTTGTTCCACGAAAAATTTCTCACTTTGCGGTTTATTAAAACAGATTCTTTCATGATGAAAAATAAAACAGTATTGCATGGGATGTACTTCTAGGCAACTCCTATCCATTCCATTCCATGGAATGTAAATCCCAAGCACTGTATTTCCACTCAAAGATATCAACAAAGCCACATGGAGATCACCTGTCTAGCACGCAGAACACCAACTTGATCACGTTCTTATCGTCGGGTAATTCGTGCCAGTAGCGCAAGGAGAGCAGGAAGCAAGGAATGCCGTCCGGTCGAACAGATATGTCGTTTTCGTTTTTGCGGTGTAGCTACACCGGTGCTACACTGCCGAACACCGAAAAAATTAGTGGTGTAGCTATCGGTTGCACCTTTGTTTACAAACAAATGATGATGAACTGTCAATGACTCGCACTTATTGCTGCTTACACTACACCGGTGTAGTGTAGTAAAAACGAAAACGACAATAGTGATTATTTCAGTTTCCTTATTGCCCTAGCAACCTCATTTGCATCGATGTGAAAATTGTCAAAATTCAAGACATCCTCGAATTGCCTGTTCAGCTTGAGCAGGCTGTGCAGCGAAATATTCAACGACCAAAATTGCTTCGGTCCAGTGCAATACGTCAAGTGATTCGGGATCACTACTTAAGTGATATTGATGTTCGCGAGTGGTATAAAGGGTGATACGGTCAAAATTTGGTCAAGGGAAAACGCGTGTAAATCGGTGAAATCGTTTATTTAAAAAATCAAATTAAATTTCTTTTTCAAGTTCAATTAGTATAAAATTCAGGAAAAATATTCAGTTAGGCTTCCGCTTTTCCAAATCCGAATTGCCGGGCCTTACGCTTGACCCCTGCCATCAGATTTTGTACAGCCACCTTGTCCACCTTCTTCGCCGCAGAAAGCCAGTTTGCCTTGAACTGCTGCTCGCCCTTAGCAGTTTTTTTGGTCTTCTTTAGGTTCCGCTTGACAATAGCCCAGTATTTCTCAATTGGGCGGAGCTCTGGCGTGTTGGGAGGGTTCTTGTCCTTGGGAACCACCTGCACGTTGTTGGCGGCGTACCACTCCATGGCCTTTTTACCGTAATGGCAAGATGCCAAATCCGGCCAAAACAGTACGGAACAACCGTGTTTCTTCAGGAAAGGCAGCAGACGTTTATTCAAACACTCTTTCACGTAAATTTCTTGGTTGACAGTCCCGGAAGCTATGAAAATGCTGCTTTTCAAGCCACAGGTACAGATGGCTTGCCAAACCAGATATTTCTTTGCGAACTTTGACAGTTTCATGTGCTTGAAAACATCTGCTACCTTTCCGCTTCCTTTTGCCGTATAAAACTCCTGTCCCGGAAGCTGCTTGTAGTCGGCTTTGACGTAGGTTTCGTCGTCCATTACCACGCAGTCAAACTTCGTCAGCATCGTCGTGTACAGCCTCCGGGATCGCGCTTTGGCCGTCGTACTTTGTTTATCATCGCGATTTGGAGTCACTTCCTTCTTGTAAGTCGATAGTCCGGCTCGTTTTTTGGCTCGATGCACGGTTGTAGACGATACACCCAGCTTATTTGCGGCATCTCGGAGAGAGAGGTTAGCGTTTCGCTTGAAACTACCGGCATCTCTCTTTGTCGTCTCAGCGGCTTTCGGTTTTCGATTTCCCCCCGATCCAGATTTCCTGGCTGTCGACAAACGTTCCCCAAACACTTTAATTACATTTGTAACGGTTGATTTGGCAACTTTTAGCGATTTTGCCAACTTTGCGTGCGAGAAGCTCGGATTTTCGCGATGCGCGAGCAAAATTTTGATACGCTGCTCTTCTTGCTTGGACGGCATTTTGACAACTGAAGAGTGAATTCCAAAATCAAAATAGGAGCAACATTCTACACACACACACCTTCAAAATGAGGGGTGTTCAGGTTTTTTAAATACAAAATTGAAAGAAATACGTCAAGTTGATATTGACCAAATTTTGACCGTATCACCCTTTAATCCGTCCTCAATATGTGCCGTCAAGTGTCGGTAAAAAATAGTAGAAAAGTGGTGATGCATAAATCCAAGTTTATCTGTTCTAAGAGTACGAGAACAAATTTAAAGTGCCCTTGTGAAGTTTGTGAGGCTGCCCGGATAAAGTATGGTAAAAATGTACTGGGAATAGTTCCTAGAAACGTGAAGCAAGGTAATTCGGTGCATGCGATTTTTGTAATGAGCGTTTAAGAAACCGGGAATGATTATGGTTTCTGAATGTTCTGTTTGCTCGATAGAACTGCAACTTGAGGTGCAACGAAGTGAAGTAATGTAATTGGGTTGTTAGCGGAATGCTTAAGTAGGACAGCAAAAAAGGTTATTTCTAGACTAACATTTGAAAAGGGCGTAACTTCAAATCACCATATCGAGAAAATTACTTCCGAATTTTGATGACATAAAAATTAATCCTATTCAGGGTGTCGACTACCTGGAAAGTCAGGGAATGTCAAGGAATTCTTTTTATGATCTGGAAAGTCAGGGAATGTCAGGGAATTTTCGTGTAGGTCAGGGAAAAAAATATATTTTTGATTTATTCTAGCCAATTAAACGCTGAAATTGAAACGAACCAAAATAGCCGAATTGAGTATTTTGGGTGAAATCACAAATTTTGTGTTGTTTCATTTGGCTGTTTTCTCTTTCGTTTCGTTCAGAAAAATAATCAGGCCTTCCTGTTTTTGTAAGTGTACACACCAAATTTAAACTACAAATAGATAAAATTATGTAGGTAAGGTTTAATCAGCAAAATGCTGCCAAATGTCAAAATTGTTAATTGCTGAAAGATCAGTAAAGAAATATTGCTAATTTTCAGTAAAAGGTGGTCATTTTGACAGAAGTTGGAATTGCTGAAAAAAATCAGCAGCATTATTTTGCTGGAACGGTTGCTGATCTTTCATCAAGTCTAAAATCAGCAAAATTTTGCTGATGTTCAGCGATTTAAATTTGATGTGTAGTTGGTCCTTTACTAATTTGCCAGGAGTATGCTGTGGTTGTCAAATCCAATATATAACCTTATATAACGCGTCTACCTCACATTGATTTTAGTACTTTGCTTTTTGGTACCCACTTTCTAGTTCGTTTACCCAAAAACTGATGCAATCGGGCAAAGAGCTCGTTGACATGACTGTTATATAAAGAATGCTTTTCGACAGTCAAATCGCTGCTAAGGTTCAGCTAGGACGTGACCTGGCTATGTTTGGCATTGCTCCGTACTATAAAGCAGAGCTGAAAAACACTGCAAAAGCTTTTGTTGTTGTATGGTTTGGCGAATCCCTAAATAAAACAACAACAAAAAAACAAATAATGGATTTGAATGCCCGATTCTGGGATGATTCGAAAAACGAGGTGGCAACTCGTTACATGATGTCAAAGTTTTTGGGAAGATCCCAGGCATCAGATCTACTCGCTGCGTTTATGGAACCCCTTGCCGGTATCTCTTCGAACAAGTTGCTGCAAGTAACAATCAATACGAAACTATCGATTTTAAATTGACTAGCCTATTGGTCCCAAGCAAGTCGATTAACGTACCCCATTACTTTCGAAATTCTAGTACTACACTATGTTTGTTTTGATTCGCTATGAAAGTTTGACAGATAAAATGAGGGGCTCGTAGATTTTCCTATGTTTCGAGGGGTGCATCGATTAGCTTGGGACCGAAGAGAGTACCAGAGCTGAGCCAAAAAGTTGAGCGCGTTTCTTCTGGACCTTCTGGTCTTAGAGTTACCTCAATGCTGCAAGTGTCCATGGATGAGCCCAAGAAGGTGGCGAGAAGCTGATAGATCTGGGAAGCTGTGGGCTGCATATTTTGCATAATGCATTCAAGGATAGTGTTCGCAGTATCAGTTGGAATGTTGTCAAATATTTGCGAGGTATATACAATATATTCAAAGATGTACCAGCAAGACGAGCATTAATCACGATGTTTTCTGGATCTACCATATTTCCGTTAAAGTTTTGCGGTCACCAATGGTTGGAAAATAGTGGTGCTGTTCAGAGGGCAATCGAAATTACTCTGCAAATACGAAAATTTATTCAAGGCGTCCAGAAAGAAAAAGTCGAACCAACGTCAGCTTCCTACCAAGATGTTAAAAACTGTTTGAATGACTCGCTGCTGATGGCTAATAGTACTGACTACAGATTTATAACATGTTATAGCGCTATCTTGATGGTGGTTTCTGTGTTGCAATTATTTGACAACCGTTATAACATGTTATAACTCTGTAGTTTGAACGTGGTATTAAACTAGCTTTCTTCAAATCAGTTGCTGTCGAAGTTGAGCCATTTCTATGCGAATTTCAGACGGACAACTCTATGGTGCCTTTTTTGTACAACGCGATGTCTCAAATGGTTAGAGGCATTATGGAAAGGTTCATTAATATTGATCATCTGAACAATATTGCACAGGTAAATGCACATTCGATCAATATGATCGCAAAAAGGAACGACTACACGTTTTTTGGCACAGGTTACTGGTCGTATTCAGAACTATTGTTGGTTGTGAAAATGATTTGCTGCTTATCGCATGGCAACGCCAATGCAGAGAGAGGTTTTTCGGCAAATGCAGCACATCCTTTTGAAAACATGAGGGAAGAGTCAAGGCCCAAGCACAATGACAGCGGAACGGCAGTGGTAGCGGAAAAGCCCGATCTGAGTAAACCTACTTGTCGGATTGAAAACTAGTTAGAATCAAATCGACTGCGGTTAGGCATCTTGATGTCATTTGTGACAATTGTCATACTTGCCGTTTCCGTTCCGCTTTCGCCCACATTGCGTTTGGGCCTTCAGTCGTAGCGCGACGTCAGATCTATGATGGTGTTACTCATGCAGGCGGGTTGGAAAACTTACAAATTTTGGGAGTTGGTTGGAAATGCTATCTAATATGAAGCTTTAGTGCGATAATTTATTAGCTAGAGAATGATCTTAGAAGAGGGTGGGCAGATAGTTCCGTT